GGGTCTCGAACCCGCGGGCTCAGGCAATCCACTCACCTCAGCCTCCCAAAGTGCTGGGATTACAGACTGAGCCACTGAGCCCGGTTCAAGCCAATATTTTATTTCACAAAATTTTATGACAGCTGTGAGGACTTTTATCACACAAAATGATTCTGCCTTTTGGACATCCTTGTGTCAACCATAGCTTTGCTTCCAGCTTTGTTTCCAGAGATATTACTCATGGTCATTCCGCTGCCCCTCCCCTTTACTCTAGGTCAACCCATATTGCGGACAACTAGGTTTTAAATTGAATTATAATATTATGACACCGCCGGGCTCGGTGGCTTAGCCTGTAATCCCGTGCTTTGGAAGGCCGAGGTGAATGAATTGCCTGAGTCCGCAGGTTTGAGACCCACCTGGGCAGCTTGACAAGACCTCATCTCTAGAATAAGTAAAAAAAAAAAAATTAGTCGGGCGTGGTAGTGCGCGCCTATAGTTCCAGCTACTTGGAAGGCTGAGGCGGAAGGATCACTGGAGCCCAGCAGGTCAAGGCTGTGGTGGCCGGGAGCGTGCCACTGCACTCCAGTCTGGGCAAGAGAGTGAGACTCCAGCTCTCTCTCTATATATACATATATATATGTATGTATTATGACACCTATAACCTTACCTCTGAATCTTCTGGATATTATCAACATTTTAACTTTTTGAGAACAGGCTGAGTCAACAGAAGGAAACCCATGGGACCATTTCTGTCCCAAACTTCACTAGTTCCTGGACACAAAGTTCTTAGGGACATAATACATAGTAAACTATAGCCTGGGAGATGCCTTATGCAGAAAATGTGTCTGCCTTAATCCATTTTCTGATGCTGTAATAGAATACCTGAGACTGGGTAATTTATAAAGAAAGGATGTTTATTTAGTTCACAATTCTAGAAGCTAGGAAGTTTAAGAACAGGCAAACCATCTAATGAGGGCCTTGCACTTCTTCACATAATGGCACAAAGCAGAAGGGCATGTGCAAAAGAGGCCAAACACCAGCGGCAACCTCACTTTATAATAACCTGCTCTTGTAGGGACTAATTTATTCCCGCAAGAACTAAACCGTTCCCTGGAATAATAACCCAGTCTCGGGGGGAAAGAGATTTATCCATCTTAACAAACTAATCACCTCTCCCACCACTGCTACATTGGGAGCCAAGCCTCAATGTGAGTTTTGGTGATGACAAACTATGTTCAAACCATAGCAATGTCCTTGTGACAGTACCAAGATTTTCAAAAAGTTACTTCAGTAAATAACATTCACATTCTTTTTCTCTCTATAATAACCAGCTATAACTTCTCAAGTCTAGCTTTCTTTTTACACAATTATTTTTATTTTTTTATTTATTTTTGAGTTGGAGTTTCACTCTGTCATCTAGACTGGAGTGCAGTGGCACACTCCCGGCCACCACAGCCTCAACCTGCTGGGCTCCAGTGATCCTTCCACCTCAGCCTTCCAAGTAGCCGGAACTACAGGCGCGTGCTACCACGCCCGGCTAATTTTTTATTTTATTTTAGAGACGAGGTCTCGCCAAGTTGCCGGGGTGGGTCTTAAACCCGCGGGCTCAGGCAATCCACTCGCCTCAGCCTCCCAAAGTGCCAGGATTACAGACTGAGCCACTGAGCCACTGAGCCCGGCTTTCCGCACAATTTTTAAAACAACTGTGAACCCCAGAATTTTGAATCATAGCGATTTCTGTTGCCACGAACAATTAAGATGCTGTTCCTAATTGTGCACACTCCAATCAGTGGTATCCCAGGCTAAGAGCATTGCATTGCCAGGAAAGGGAATGTAATCACCAAAAGCTTTTCAGCCTAGTAGTGTGAATTATTACAAAGTTTGGGCAAGCAGACAACTGGCTGTTTCCAAAAAGGCTCTGCCCCAGATGCTCATAGTAATCAATCACCCTGGTTATTACTGAAGCATGGTGACTGTGTGCTTGATCCCGGGTGGATGTCAGTGCTTTCCACTCAATTCACATGGGATTTGGTTGATGGACATATCTGGGATGCTGACAAGACTTCCCTTGGGCCTCAAACTTCTGTCATGGTTTAATTTTCTTCTTTAATTGATTGATCTAGGTGACTGCTGCTGCAGGGAGAAGGTTGGTAAAGGAGACTTAGACACAGAGGGAGGTGAGAGCTGGTTAGGTCTATAGGTTCTCAGGCACCAGTGTTGGCCAAATGTCTTCTTTTTTGTTCACCTTTGTCTCAGACACTCACAATGGCCTGAGCACCACACTGGAGCTCCTGTTTGGGGAGGGATTATCCTAAGGCTTGGATGCAAAGGCTGACATGGACACTGACACTGCTTCAGAGACTTCAACACAAACTTCCTTTAGTGGGGAATATAGGAGTAAATGGGCATGCAGTCTCTGAGAGGGGCTTATTTCCTTCACCATGCATGTTGATGGCTTGGCTCATCTCTACCTTAAGCAATTTTATTTTCTGAACTTAACTGGTGCCATAACTTGCCTTGTGAGGTACCTGGAAGGATCTACCCTTGTCTGCACTTTATTTTTTGGACCCAGAGCAAATTAAGATGTTAGACTCTTGATAAGCAAAGGCCCTTTTATTCTGAAGATAAATTTTGGCATAAAAGGGAAAAACTGAATAATTAAGTTGTTTGTTACACTAACAAAACAAGAGTAGAGCAGATTCCTGCTTTGTTGAGGAGAAGGCTCTGAATTCAGGAATGTAAAGTAGAAGACAGGGATTATAAGGTTAAAGAGCCAGATACCAGTATGACTAGAAGTCCTTACCTTCTCGCCATTTTGAACCTCTGCAATTCACAAGTGTGGTGTGGTATACAGGTCTGAGGCAAAATTAGGAAGAAAAGTACGTCCTCATTTTTTGCTGGTTTTGACACATCTTCCTTTTTTTTTTGTTTTTTTTTTGAGTTGGAGTCTCACTCTGTCGCCCAGGCTGGAGTGCAGTGGCCGCTCCCGGCCACCGCAGCCTCGACCTGCTAGGCTCCAGCGATCCTTCCGCCTCAGCCTTCCGAGTAGCCGGAATTACAGGCATGCGCTACCACGCCCGGCTGATTTTTTGATTTATTGTAGAGATGAGGTCTCGCTGCCCAGGCGGGTCTCGAACCCGCGGGCTCAGGCAATCCACTCACCTCAGCCTCCCAAAGGCGTGGGATTACAGGCTGAGCCACCGAGCCCGGCACATCTTCCTTTTTATCATTATTTTGTCGTCCTGGAGCCTTTCCAGATACCTGTCCCCAGCCCCATCTTCTAAAGGCTTTGTTTTTATCTGGCTGTTACAGTTGAAATAAAACTATTAAACTGATCTGATAAATTGAGACTAGACGGCTTCATAATTGGACCCAGCGCAGGGATATTTTTATTTTACCAGGTCTGTTTGTTTCTTTTTTTTTTTTTTGAGTTGGAGTCTCACTCTGTCACCCAGACTGGAGTGCAGTGGCCACTCCTGGCCACCACAGCCTTGACCTGCTGGGCTCTGGCGATCCTTCCGCCTCAGCCTTCCGAGTAGCTGGAACTACAGGCATGTGCTACCACTCCCGGCTAATTTTTTTTTAATTATTATTTTGTAGAGATGAGGTCTCACCAAGTTGCCTGGGCGGGTCTCGAACCTGTGGGCTCAGGCAATCCACTCACTTCAGCCTCCCAAAGCACGGGATTATAGACTGAGCCACCGAGCCCAGCTTAGGTTTGTTTCTTAAGACATAAAGCACTGGAACTGTTATGGTAGAGTCTGACACACTGAAGCCAATGGGCTACTGAGATAGCTAGTGACAGGAAAGTCTTCTGCAGGGTCCCTCTCATGATACCATCTATGGATGTAGTTCTTCAGCCTAGTTCAGAGGACCTAGCCCTGAGCCAAGCACAGGGTTGGAAGCCCCCTCCCAGTGAAGCATCTCACCATTACGTACTTTCCTGAAGAGCATATTTCCCTAGCAGGGAAATAACTATCAGAAACAGCTCTGTCATCTCAATTTCTGGCAGGATAGAGGTGGGTGTGACCACCTATAGCGGTGGATCCAGGCCTTTGGTCATCATCTTTCCACTTTGGAAATATGACTATAGAAACCTGAGATCTAGAAGGCAGAAAGTGCTACCCAGAATACAAGTAGTGTCACTAACTGAGCATGTACTCAATTACATTCCAGGCACTGTGCTAAGTGCTATCAACATTGTCTCATATAATCCTCACTAACACCATATGAGAGGGGTAGTACCCATTTTGCACAGAGGCTCAGAGAGGTTTAAGTACCTTGCTCACACACAGCTAGTTAGTAGCAGAACTAGGATACCAGCTCAGGTCTTTATTTTAAGTAAAGGCAAATGCTATAGAAGTGTATTAAAACTGTTGGCTCTGTGTTTTAAAGTAGACCTTGGGGGTTGTTTTAATGAATAGGCAAGACGAATTTTAATTAGCATAGCAATTGTTTGTAAATGGTACTTGAGAAAGTTAACAATTTGCTCACCAGTATTTTATTAAACCTCCTTCCTGCGATTTTATAGACTCTTATTTGCATTATAAATGAGCAAGGAAAAATTTGCTAGGGGAAGGGCTATGCATTCCAATTTTGACACCTTGAATATCGAAATTGACTGCTCCTTCTCCTTGAGTAACAGAGTTGACAATTTCAAATTGGGAGCTGAAGGGTCACCATTTGCCTGTCATGGCCAACAGAGTGGTCTTCAGTGTTTGCCAGGTACATACAGGTACACCTGACCAAGAACAATCAATAAGATTCAGTAGATCCTAGATGAAGTGTATCAAAAGAACCCAATGGTTTGGGGAAAACCTCATTTTATTAAGTAAAGGGTAGCCATGTGAGCTTGAGGAATCTTGCTTTCAAACCCTCCAATCTAGTCATATGGGCATAATGGACCCTGAGATCTAGCCCAAACACCCATCCTAGGGAGAAGCTCTATCTGAGGGCAAGGTAAGTAGGCAATTGCTGTTAGCTGCTGTTCCTGCACAGGCCACCTCTAAGAAATCTTGTTAGGTAACATCTGCTACATAGGTGACTGCTTGTCCACTGATCACCAGTGGTTTGACAAATGACATTCTAGCACTTAAACACCAGGGACATTCTCATCTGCAAGCAATTGTGCTGGTAGTAACTCCCAAGAGCTTCCAATGCCAGGTTTCTTTCTGTGTGGGCTTCCAGCTGCTGAGTTGAGAGAACTTGGCTGTCCCTTTATAAGAAATAGAACTAAAGGAGCATGCTAGGGGAGAATCTTCCCTAACTCTGAGATCATCAGATGCATACATGTTACCAATTACAGGAATCACCCTGCCCTGTATTATTCCTGGGTCATTCGGTCCAGCAGGATTCCCTGGAACTCCTGGATTCCCAGGTATGGAATGAGGCCCTAGAAAACCACTGAGCACACTTTGTAAGAATCATGAGAGAAAGGAAGCAGAGGATATCCCAGTAGAATTTGGGGGTTCCCATTTCACCTTGGGAATTGAGGAAATAGAATAGCTGCTGGAGAGGGCAGTGTGGGGAGATGAGACCAGGAGGGGCCAAGAGACTGGGATTCTTGACTGAACATCACAAATCATACCCAGCACACTAACTTTCCTTTCCCTTCACTACTTACATTTGGGTTTACAGGCCCTAAAGGGGCCCGTGGCCTCCCTGGAACTTTAGGCCAGCCTGGATCACGTGGAAATAAAGGAGAACCCGGGAGCCCAGGATTGGTTCATCTCCCTGAACTGCCAGGTAAGGAAAGGAGCCTCTCCTCACCGCTTCTCCTTTTGCGCAAGTGTGCATTAGAACTGTGGTAGTCCTCCACCAATTACAGGAAGCTAGGTATGCTCTCTGGTGTGTGTAGGATGATTTGATTTCATACCCAGGCAAGTCAGAGCATAAAACCATAGAATGACAGTATATCAGAGCAATAAGGGCCACTCAAGTCCAGCAGGGACAACTCCTTAACTTTTGATAAGGAAGCTGAGACCTGATGGGAAGTAACCTGCCTGATGTCTTGAAGCCACTAGTGACAGACCTAGGACTTTTCCAGGTTGTCTGCCTCCCAGTCCTCTGACAGTTTCCTGGATCAACTCCTTAAAGCTCAGAGAAAGAGCTTCAGATCAGTCAGGAGCAAGTTACCCATTTCTATTCCTTTTTCTATACCCTGTTTTTCCATCTGTGCTTCGTGGTTTTACATTCTACCAGTGGTTCTCAAACTGTAGTCCATGGGCCAGCACCAGCATCACCTGAGGAGTTGTTGGAAATGCAAATTCTCAGCCTCTCTGCAGAATCTGCTGAGCAGAAACTCTAGGGGTGGGCATGACAATCTGTGTACTCCAGGTGATTATGACACTCCTTCAGGTTTGATAACTGCCAGTGCTTGAGAACTCGGGGCTCCTCTTGGGCCATGTGCTCTGGGCTTCCCTCCACCACCCTCCCCCCACCCAAGAGGTGGGAGACATGACAGCAGGAGCCAGACAACTCTGGAAAACCATGAGCTTTTGCCTGGAGGCCTTGGGAGTGACCTATGCTCATCAGCTACTGTAGGAGCCCCAGGAGCAGGTTGCTAAGCTCTGCCCACAACCCGGCCTCCATGACATAGAACCTCCTTCAGGTTATGTGGTATAGTCCCTGCCTCTGTGCAAGGCCTCCCAGGACCAGAGACCCTTGACCGTCAAGAGAAGTGGCATATTATGAAAATGTTAGCTTTCATATTCGAAAAATCTCAGAGATCTCTATCCAGACAAATTGCTTTTAAACATCTGTGGCCTTTTACTTTTGCCTTTTTGCATTTAGGATTTCCTGGACCTCGTGGGGAGAAGGGCTTGCCTGGATTTCCTGGGCTCCCTGGAAAAGATGGCTTGCCTGGAAAGGTTGGCAGTCCAGGTTTACCTGGTTCCAAGGGAACCCCTGGTGACATCTTTGGTGCTGAAAATGGTGCTCTGGGGGAGCAAGGCCTACAGGGATTGCCAGGGGACAGAGGATTTCCTGGAGACTCTGGCTTTCCAGGACCCAAGGGTGACTCTTTTTGTTCCATTTATTTAACAATCCACAGACAGCCTTAAATTAATCAATATACTTGCATGAGTACTTGCATGACTCTAGGATAACGATTTAATTAGGAGTTAAACTGAAATATGTTGTTCTGTCCTTCCCTTTTGGGAGATTTTCCTTAAATGGCCTGAATTTATTTTTCTGTTTTAGTAATTACCGATGTGACCATAACCAACAAATTTCTTGCAAATCTTCTGCTTTACTGCTAGGAATAGCAACAAGGCTGGAGCTGAGAAGAGCTTAGGATGAATCCTGGGCCAAACTCTTCCACTGAAAGTTCGTTTGGTTACCCAGTTTCTGCTATTCAAGCTGTAACTATCTGCCCTTTCTTTTATTAGGTGTGCATGGGAAGCCTGGCTTGCTAGGCCCCAAAGGTGATCGGGGCAGCCCAGGAATACCAGGGCAGGTGGGACTGCCAGGTCTTCCAGGTTCCGGTGGTTTGTATGGCATCAAGGGCAAACCTGGGCTCCCAGGAGCGCCAGGCTTTCCAGGCATTTCAGGTAGGTTCTTTGGAGGAAGAGCTGCAGCTTGACAGACTTCAGCTAGGCCCTGGATCCAATGCTCTAGAGGGCAATAGCAGCTGTGGGATGTAGTCAGAATTTTGAATGAGATTTGACTTTCCTAATCTTTCAAGTTTCAAATCTCAAGTCACCCTTGTAATGTCAAGCAGAACAGATTGCTGCAGGTTATCTTCCAAACGATTACCACAAATCTCTCCAGGCCCCCTCCTCCATGGCCTCAAGCCCCCTTTTCATGCTTTAACCTTCCTCCTGCCCTCGCCAGTTAGAGAAACTGCCTTCATTGTTGAGGTGAGTGTAGCCCACCTCTAATGCCTTCATAAGGGCCATAGGGAGCCTGCTTTGGATTGGGGAGAAGCTCAAGCAGAGTGTGGCCACCCTGGCGACCTGTCTTCCAGGCGAGTGTGCCTCTGAGGACGCCATGGCCAAAGTGCCTCTCACTCAGCAGTGGGACCTGACACCCCCTGGTTCCAGGCCAGTGTTTGTAACTTGCCTTTTTCTTGCCCTCCTCACCCTGCCTCGTGACTACATCATTCCCCA